AGAGGTTGTAGTGAGCCGAGAAATGTGCCTCTGCACTCCAGCCCAGGGGGACAGAGTGAGACTCCGTCTCAAAAAAAAAAAAAAAAGAAAGAAAGAAAAGAAATGGGTTGGTGATTGGATCAGTTGCTATACCTAATAAAAGGAGTCAGTAGCCTGGTGCATTACTTGACATTGCTGCTTTAGTTAGCTTCAGTAATCCCTTAAAATAAGGCACAGACTTAGATACGACCCCTTCACACTCCTTATGACAAGAACAAAACTCAACTTTTGAAAATTTTTTGGATAACATCTTTTATGCTCCTTATTCTTCCTTTTTATAACCACATTCACATCTGAGTACAGATGTAGTTCTCTTTGCACCATGGAATTGAATATGATAACTTTATACAAAGAATTACCCTGAAGAATACCCAAAAAAAACTCATAAAAACCTCTCTGTCTTTAGGTATGGATTAATACTGTGCTAGTTTCTTGAGCTAGATTTATAAGGCATGTAACAGCGTATCATTGTTTTATGGCCCCTAAAATGTATTGCTTTTTACCTCAGAATTTGTGCGGGAGATGGGAGAGAGGTGAGGATGGGAGACAAGGCTCCCTCTCTGCTTGAGTGCAGGACATTTCATCTATGTTTTTTGACTGCTTGCAGGACGGCCAGCTAATTGAGTGCCGCTGCTGCTATGGGGAATTTCCATTTGAGGAGCTGACGCAGTGTGCAGATGCTCACTTGTTCTGCAAAGAATGTCTCATCAGATATGCCCAAGAGGCAGTCTTTGGATCTGGAAAGGTAAGAATTGTGTAATATGTCCCATGTATATAGGACACATTCCTGGAGTCTGAGGAGACTATGTTGATAGATAAGTGCCTCTTTCAGGGTAAGGTGGAATTCTGTTGGTACACTTACGTGTACATTACCTGATTTGCGTGATTATGTTGATTCTCTAAGCACAGCAGATTTCTTCCCACGGAATGGTAGAATTCTTCCATGCCCCCATGCCTAGCCCAATAGGAACACCTATTTCACTCATCATCTTATTCATAATCAAGGTGAAGGTTAACTCAAAGGGAGAAAACCTTGCAGCCTATTGGGTTAAATATATATTAAATGAACATAACTTTATACTAGATCATATTTTTCCCTCCAAAGTCAGTGTCTCTGGACACCAGCATAACAGAGTATGGCAGTTTTACATTGTTTTATACCACTAAGTTTATGGTATTTTGTTCCAGCAGCTATAGAAAACCATCACAGTGATTAAGAAGATGACTTTTTTTGGGAGGCTGAGGCAGGTTGATCACTTGAGTTCAGGAGTTCAAGGCCAGCCTGGCCAACATGCAAAACCTTGTTTCTACTAAAAATAAAAAGTTAGCCAGGCAAGGTGTTGTACACCTATAATCCCAACTCCTTAGGAGGTTGAGGCACAAGAATCACTTGAACCCGGGAGGCAGAGACTGCAGTGAGCCAAGATGGCACCACTGCATTCCAGCCTGGGTGACAGAGAGAGACTCAGTCTCCAAAAGAAAAAAAAAGAAGATGGCCTTTTGGTGCAGTGGCTTACACCTGTAATCCCAGCTCTTTGGGAGGCCCAGGAGGGCAGATCACTTGAGCCCAGGAGTTGAGACCAGCCTAGGGAACACGCTGAAATCCCGTCTCTACAAAAAAATACAAAAATTACCTTGGCATGGTGGTGTGCACATCTGTAGTGTAGCTACTCAGGAGGCTGAGATGGGAGCCACTACATTCCAACCTGGGCAACAGAGTTAAGACCCCATCTCAAAAAGCTGAGGGCCTTTTTACATCCCCAGCCATACATAAGACACATTGACATTTGTCTGACTAGGTATGCTGAGAACTTGCCATAAAATGCCTATCTTAGGTCTAATAATGAGACAAATCAAATTGAGAGACATTCTACAAACTTACTGGCCAGTACTTTTCTAAAGTGTCAGAGCTGTAAAAGACCAAGAAATACTGAGAAACTCAAGTTAGAAAAGACTAGTGAGAAATGATGACTAGATGCCTTGTGGGATCCTGGGCTAGAAGAAAAGACATTAGTGGAAAAACTCGTCCCATTAATGGTATCAAGCCACTGTCAACTTCCTGGTTTTGACATAAGATGTTAACATTAGGGGCCAGGAGCAGTGGCTCACACCTGTAATCCCAGCACTTTGGGAGGCTAAGGTGGGCGGATCACGAGGTCAGCAGTTCGAGACCAGTCTGACCAACCTGGTGAAACCCCATCTCTGCTAAATATACAGAAATTAGCCAGGTGTGATAGCAGGCATCTGTAATCCCAGCTACTGGGGAGGCAGGATAACTGCCTGAACTCCGGAAACAGAGGTTGGAGTGAGGTGGATTGCACCACTGCACTCCAGCGTGGGTAATAGAGCAAGACTCTGTCTAGGGAAAAATAAGAAAAAAAAAGATGTTAACATTAAGGTAGGTAGATGAGGAGGATACAGGAACTCTGTACTATTTTTGTGACTTTTTATAAGTTTAACATTATTTCAAAATAAAGTTTCTGGCTGAGCACAGTGGCTCATGCCTGTAGTCCCAGCACTTTGGGAGGCCAAGGTGGCTAGATCACAGGATCAGGAGTTCAAGACTAGCCTGGCCAAGTTGGTGAAACCCCATATCAAGTAAAAATACATAAATTAGGCCGGGCG